TCCTGTTTAAATTTGTTAAATTGATCATAATTAAATAGATTCACTAATGTTCTGTTTAACAATTTATCGATTGATTTAATATCTTCAACGTAATAGTAATAATTTGTTAAACTATTTCTCAAATTTATTTTCAAAGGATAATAATTCGATTCGTTAATTATAATATTGTGTTCAATTATTATATGTGACTAATGTGTGTGTTGCATTTAATTATTCATGCATATAATCTTTAATTATTCATCACGTTTACTTTTTTTCTTTTTTACAATCGAATATTAATCATACTTCGTAATCATTTGTTACATTTCTATCGTTATTGTCAATACAATAAAAGTGTTGTTGTTATAAACATCTATCTACGTTTAATACTGAAAGTTACTACACACTAAGTATCATCATGCATATTTTTATATTCAACAAAACCAAAACCGAGGAAAAGGAGATATTGGTCATGAGACAAAAAAATGAAAGCCTCTTACCATCTCCTTCTTTTCCCCTCATCCTGTGATATTTGTGTTTACATTTTCTTCCAATTTTTTTCTTCACCAACATCTTCTTTGTCAAGTTTTGTAAGCTTGTATGAAAGCTTTCTCACGAAACGAATAGTAAATACACACTGCTAGATATGCTCGTTTTCTAACGATAATGCGAAAACTTGTTCGCTGAGAATAGTTTCACGTAGATAATACTGAGAACCACATAGTACTACGTGTTATGTACCTTTGCTATTGGAGTTGAAAAGGAAATATGAAAGAAAATATAAAAGATTTTCGATAATAAAATCAAAACAATAATCACATTTAGTAATCGTAATTTTATTACAATTAATTTAACAATAAATCAATCGTAATAGATAGATTATTTTATTTCATTTATTTATTTATTTATTTATTTTTTTTTTGTTAACTGTAATATTCAACATTTTATAGTCGTAATAAGAAATCTGAGTTAATCCATTTAACGATATACAATTGTTAGGGAAATCTACGTGCATCTAACAAGTTTCAGAAAGGATCGTTTCGTGAGTACGTGTACAATGCTAGAAACTACCACCTACAGTTGCTATCTGCTCGTCAAACGTTTATTGGGTCACGGGCTTTCGCCGCAGTGTTAGAACTCTACCTAGTGTTGTCTCCGTAGGCCGGTAAACGAGCGTACGTGCGTCAAACTTGAACATTTGTATAGGTTAGTATGAATGTTGTATGTAGGGCTTTCTCGCATCGCTGCATACGTCTAGAAAGCGAGAGCAAGTGCGAGAGAGAAAAATATAGATAGATAGATAGATTGATAGATAGATAGATAGATTGAGAGAAAGAGTGAGAGAGAAAGAGAGAGGAAACACTACGTGTGACCCTTAGAAATCCTCCCTCTGATACGTGCTCGACGAGAAATCTCTATTTGAACAGCCACAGATGCGTATCCTCGTTGCGAGACAAAACACAGTCTATCTTTATTCTCTTTCCTTCAGACAATCACCAGGAGATATTTTGTCTCGTAGATTCCTATAAATTGATATAGCGGTACTTTCCTAGAATTTCCAACGATCCAAGTGATCGAAAGAAAAAAAACAACCCTAATATCTCGAAGTGCTTGAACTATCTAATGCGATCTTTTGTATTCGTGAAAAAATGAACGAGATATGTTGTTCCAGTTTAACTGTTGTTCTTTCTTTTATGTTTCAATATACTACTACGATATCAATTCTATTTTTTTGTATGAATTTTGACACATTATTTACTAGTTTATTTCTTGCTATTTGTTCTATATTTGTAGTATCCTTTTTAAGTTATTCCTTGTTCTATTTTATTATCAATACCGATAAATACTATGTATCATATGTTATTAATTTATCGATATCTGTTTTATGGAAATGTGGATATTGAGAGAACTATATAAAGAAATATTTGATACGATTATCAATTCTTCGTTTTAGAGGTAAAATCGTAACAAGAAATTTCCTGGAGTAATATTAATTTTGCATATCTTATGATAACGTTTTTATTAAAGTTTCATTTTCATAAATATTTATTTTATATACATATATATAGAATAAAAGATTTAGATTATTAAATAAGATCAATGTAACAAAGTTTCCCTGAATTATAAAAGTTAAGATAATAAATGTCGAATGAAATTTGTTTTTTTTTTTTTTTCTTAAAAATTGTGTCAGTTCTTGTTGATTTATATTATTTATATAAAACAAGAAAAACATTAATGTAATTTATATTATATTTTTCTTCATAATTTTCCTTTGTTTCTTGCATTTATTTTTTGATTCGCACAAAAATTAACATTTTATTTGTTCTGTCGTTGAAAAAAAAAAAAAGAAAAATTCAAAAGAATGTTTCTTTCAACGAAGAACTTTTTTTTTTTCTAGCGAATTAAAAATAAAGTTACGCGAATGTTGCAAGATTACTCAGTAATATTAAAGATTTTCACATAAAAAAAACGGGAAAAGAGAGAGAGAGTCAGAGGCGGGGTAGCACGTTAAGAGGTCGTTTTTGACGTACTGCAAAGTAGATTTCTTAGGTGGATAAAGTAACGTCAAATGGGAGATGAATAAACGAAGCAACTGGAGTACGAATGAAAATCTTCCGTTGAACGAGAAAGTCATTGAAATGGAATATCCGCTTGTAGCTTTTTGACGCTTTATTTCTCTTCATGCGAACATGCGTTAATACTAACACGTATAGATGTCTATTGACACATACTCAAAGTAAAGAATGTATGTACATTCGTAGCCTCGTATGATGTGTTGTAATAAAAGCTAGGTGACCCAATAAACATTCGACGCGTACTTAAATAAGATGATATCATCTTGGTTATTATACTTCACAACTTAAAGTATATTGAGTTTTCCTATTTTAAACAATATGACCAAATATCTTCAATTCTATAAGTTTTATAGATAAATATTTCAAACCAAAGTTGCTAGGTTTACAGAGAGAGAGAGAGAGAGAGAAACATTTTTACTGTAGTTATTTCGTAAAAGATACTCCGCTATCAAAATATCATTGGAAGTCAATAATTCTTTTTTCTTTCCTCTATTGGAAATCGATATTACACATATAATAAATGTTTTCGAGAATTTGATTAAAAATCCAATATTTCATTTGGTTGTGGCTATCGCCAATATTACGAGTATTCTACTAATACGAATTATATAGTATAATATTTATATATTATAATTTGTGTATAAATTGGTTAAACAGTATTTTGTATAATTTGTATTTATTTTACATATATTACAATATATTTTCTTGAAATTTATTCCTATGCCAAACATAGGAAGGAAAATATATCTCACAATTATATATATATATAATATATATAATATATATAAATAATATATATAATATATATATATATATATATATATATATATATATGTATATAGTAATCCATTTATAACGTGTGAGTTATAATTTAATTTCTAAATATAAAATGATCGTTCAATAGCAAAAGGTAGAAGGGATAGAGACAGAATTATGAGTCGTTTCTTTTCGTTATTACAACGAAGATGAAACAGAGGAACGAAAGGAAACAAAAATAAAAATCAAGAAACGGACAGCTTGCAGCTGTAGATACGGTCCACGGTTGTTTCTATATCCCGCTGCTTGCATCTGCTTTTACCTCTTTCTTTTTTCTTTCAAGCAAATGCACAGCAACACAGAGATAATCTTTCGTGTTTGCACATCTGTTCATATTCAATCTTTCTCCTCGGTACGTTCGTTCGCCTTTTGCCTATTCCACTTGTCTATTCTACCTCGCAAACTTTTCTCTCATTCTTTGTATATATAATATCGAAAATAGTATTTTTCTATCTATGCGACTCGAACAATGAGAGAATACCAACCCATAGCTATCGAATAATAAATTACATTCATTCAATAACAATTGTATAATATTTTTTGAAATTTATCAAAATATAATCAAATATCTTTATATCGTCAAAACAAAAATATATAATAACGTTGAAAATGTAACGAAAGGAATGAATCGAGCAGCATATCTTTCAACACCGTTCAAACCATGAGAATTATAATCAAAAATACAGAGGAAAAATCATAGCTTATTTCTGAGGACTATAAAACTACCAAACAAACCTAGAGGTGTCAATGCGACGAGTCATTTACCCAACAGATCTTTCAAGTGGTCATAGTTTTTATTGCCACATCCATTGAAATGTTAATCTTTTAAATCAACTAACTATGAGGGGTGAACTTTCCTGTTATTGAACAGTCAATCTAAAGGATGACAATAATCTTTTCCCTATAAAAAACCCACGAAGCAATACCACAATCATCATTCGATCATCATCATTATCCAATTCATTCTAACAACTCAAAGAACAACGATTCGAAATCCCATCGGCGCAGTAGAACCAGCATCAAAAAATAAACTGCAAGTATCGTGACAGTAAACCGCATATTTACAGGCAACATATTCATCAAGTGGCGCATATCGTCAAAACACCATTCAATAATTCACAACATAACAGTAATCAACAATTTAACAACAATCGATATCACAAACTACAACGGCATTTTAATGATAAATAAATAATATGGTACCGATCAAGACAACAGTCGTACATATGTATATACATAAATGTAGATGCTGAAAATATAATCTACGAATCGATGGCAAGAATAGTAGAGACTTAACAAGCTATAGTGAACAAATCGTTCCTTTTACCCTTTGTTACCACCCTTCCTTTCCTGAATGCAATCTTTTTTTTCAAACCACAATACCTTAGCGTGACAGTACTCTGGCTGGGTGCCAATCTTCACGTCTCATTCCTTCCTTTCGTGTTCTATCTAAACTGCACCATAGTTCACGCTTCTTTACTTCGCGATAACTCTTGTTCGTGATGATCACGAGCTACTCAAAAACATACACTTTTGTTACTCGTAAATTGTTCTGTTTACTTTTATTTTTGAAAATGAATTTATTTTCATGATGCATATTTTAAATAACGGTATTTAATTTGTTTTTAGGTGTTAACGTCGAAAGCAAATCATCTCAAAACATATGTCAAAGCGTTTGGTAAGTGTTAAGGAAAGGATTTATTGTTAATTATAATTTTTGGATAGAATATGTCTTTTTTTTTTTTTTTCAATTAAACGAGACTAAACATCTTTTTATTTTCATTTTTTTTTCTAACCATGATATCAATATTTGTTCAGTTAACTATGATATTGACTTTTGCGGTAAGGTAGATTGTTTTCTTATCCTATTCAATCACTCTTTCCTCTTGTTATGGATGCTCGTACGTTGTCTCTATATATCTTTTTTTTTCTTTTTTTCTTTTCTTTTTTCGTTTTCTTCGAAACGTTTCCTTCGAGCAAAAGGAGCACGCTCTCAACGAAAAGTAGAAACCACTGCAAATTGAAGCGAAGTGGCCAATGCTCTTAACGCTAACAGAATTTCTTTTCCTACTTGCGACCTGAAACATAAGCGTTCAATACGAAATAAGATTTTTTTACGTGAACGTTTATTCGATAGTAGCGTTAAAGTAAAATTATTAATTATCTTTTTTTTTATTGTCGAGTCACTTAAGACACATCAAATGAGCTTGCTTTCTTTTTCATCTCTATTTTATTACTTTCAAAAGAAATCATTATATTATAAATTGTTCTAATATATTTCTAAAATTGAAGCTTTAGATTCGTAATTTAAATATTAATTTTACATTTATTTCATTTTACCTGTTAAAGTTCTTGCATGCAAAGAATTTTCAATTTTTGATCGTTCTCGTTGAATACAATATTACAAATCTGTTTTTTTTTTTTCGATATTTCTAATTTGAAGTCAAAGTCTCTTTTTTTTTTATCTTTTTACTTTTATTTTTCATTTCGTACAGCCCGTACGGGTCCATTTGTTAAATTAGTAAAAATGTCAAGTGCACTTACCATGATGACATTGATAATTAGCATTATAGCTGTTTGTCATGCGAACGAAATGAGTTTTATCGCTAGTAATGATCTAAGTAATAACGTACGTGCGTGATTTTGATCTCAAACATCGCGAGATTGGAAATAATTTCTTGCTTTATGTACTATGATTCATTGGCATATCAGTTGAAGAAAAAATATATATATATAGTATATAAAAGTATAATATCTAATCATAATGATTGCGATCTATTTGCTTGGTTAAAGTATAAGGAACGAATTATTTATTTTACTATGCGAAAGTTGTAATATTATTATTTAATAGATTTTATGTAATAAATTGAAACGAGAGTAATGAGAAATATTTAAATGTTGCATTTAAATTTATACTTATTTATTATATAATTATACTTATAATTATATAATTATAAATACTTTGTTTTTATAATTTTTATTTAGTAATTTTCTTTACCGTAGGATTGATTAAAAATACGAAAACCTTTAAATTCAATATCCGATTGACGTTGAATTATAATATGCTCGATGTAGCATGCACTAATTGGGAACAGTATGACAAATTGACGTTATTATTAGCATTCATAATATAGCCGCAAATTTACAGATTCCACAATAACATTTATAATGTATTAATCGTTTGATTAGCAAAATATACAAATTACATTAATATTGATTATAATTAATATTAATCTTATCAATAATTATTCCAATTGTTTAATCGTTTTTTATTTTAATAAAATATTTTTCTAAATAAAACGTGCAAAAATAGAACAAATGTATCTATAAAACTTTTGTTAATAACATTAGACGAATTGGAATCAAAAGTGAGAAAGGTATATCTCATTGCTTCAAAGGCTGGATCGTTATGTCAAAATTGTATCAATTTCACTATTAGTAATGAAGTTACGGTAGTTGAAATTTCACCGAACGTATGATCACTCTGGTGTTGTTGCCTATCAATCGAATTGCGTCAGCTTTGATTATTCTTGATCGGTCACTACGATTTATATATCATAAATCGAAACTAATTTCTTTATCTTTTTTTCTTATTCAGACACATTCCATTTTACGAATAATTGTTTCCTCTTTTATAATACTTATAATTATGAATCATTCATGTAACATAGTCAATAATTCTTAAGGCTGATTTTAAACATTGATTGTTGTAAAAAATAAATAAAAATATATATATTGTATTAAAAGAGGAAAGAACAATTTTTAACTAACCCTAGTGTGATAAATATTTATTACATAAAAGAGAAATTTATCTGAACCCAAAATTAGCTAGTAATGGAATATTTTATGAAATTTGGGGTATCCTTGTAAAATCACAAAATTAACTTGAGTGAGAACTTAGTTAACGCACTATACGTGAATGGAGATTCAATACGTAATGTTGGATACAATTTACAACGTTCATATGCATTGTGTGTAAATAATAAAATTCTCATTTATTTTATCTTGATACACGTGTAAATTACTAGAACACGCACTTCTTCTTTCTCTTCTATCTCCCGTTTTCTTTTTACAATTTTTTCTTTGGTATACCAAAATTTGTATTTCCGTTGTCTTTGAATTATCAAATAATTTTTCAATTACAACGAAGAAAATAGTTTTTGACGTTCTCGTAAAGTTCATCTCGAATAGATTAATAGATAAATATTGTGTAATATAAGATCATCCACATCGTTCTCTGTCTAATTCCTCGTACATCGACCTTATTGTTAGATCGAATTCTACAGAAGGGAATGTTTAAAATATAACAAGGAGATTCGCGAGAAATCGGCTTGCGTTTAGCCACAAGAACCAGCTCAAGTGGTGTTTCGACCAGGGACAATCTGATTTGTGTCGTACTCGTAAATCTTGAAAATAAATGATACAAGCGTATCTAAGTAAAACACCACAGGCTATCGATTAAAACGAAACATTCAAGTGTGTGACCTTTTTATTATTATTTATCGAAGACAAAAATAATTATTAATCATCATTCATTGAAAATATTAAATCGAATCGAAAATGATTAAAATATTCATTATATACAAACCATTCTCATTATATCATTTATATATCTGGTTTGAACGCTATTAATGTATCCTTCATCAATCAATTGATAACCAACGAATAAATGATTCGAAAGATTGAAGGGAGATAAAATATTGTATAGTTTACTTTTAATTCATCACATACGAATAAAATGATTTCATTCGCGTTAATACTCATTTTCTAAGTTATTTTATTCGTTGCATAATGTTAGAATGCCCTAGAGCGTATATTTCTAAATTTTGAGAGTTCTCTATACGTATATGCAACTTAAATACATTGGATCGACTACGGACAGCTTGCTTCAAACTAATTCAAAATGTGATGATAAATTAAACTGTTTCAGAGAGTTTAAACGAGGCTTAATGTAGCGCTATTCGTCGACCGAAACAAATTCAAATTACGATGTTGTACATCGTCGTAATAATTTTCCTTCTGTACTATCGTCAATCTCCCTCTCTCTCTCTCTCTCTCTCTCTCTCTCCGTCCCTCCCTCTTCCTTCATATCTCTCTTTCTCTCTCCTTCTCTCTGCTTTTTTAATTTTTCCAATTTTTCTTTTGTATACAAACTACGCGCTTCTATTTTATAACTATATTTTTTTTGTCAGACAACTAACAAGCACTTATCTAGGAAAACATAGAACTTGCTTTCTTGTTTGGTGTATTACTACATGCCTTAATCCTACTCGTAAAGGCGCTCAATTTGGAAGCTGGCGTTTCTCAGTGAAGCTTAAAGATAAGTATACTCTTCGAGGTTTTTTAAGATAAATAAAAAATGTAAAAAAGTATTGGCTTTGGCGAATGAAGGAAAAGAAAAAATAGAAGGAAATATGATTTTACGTTTATTTTTTGGATAAATACGTATAAGTTGATTTTGTTTGAATTTTTTTACGTAGCATTAGAATTTATTTATTTTGATAAAAAAAAAAAAAAGACAAAGGCGACGCGACGCGTCTTTCAAAAAAATGCTCTACAACGTGAAACTTTGTCGAAACATCCTCTTTCCCTTACTTAGTTCTTTTATCGCGTTCTGTAAACTTTCAAAGAATTAGAAATAAGTGATGAAGTTTTATTTTCAACGTTAAAACCCAATTCACGAGGAAGTTAAAATCGACGAGTTACTGCTGCCAACGGAACCGTTAACCTCGCATTGTCCAGAATTATCCGTGACTTAAACTTTTTTCAATACTTCTTTCTCCATCTATCTTACTCTCTTGTACTATCCTATAAAATTTATTTTTATTTCATTGACTTTAAAGTGCATCTCGCGCTCCAGAGACATTCGTCGTAAAGACATCGTGAAAAATTGACTTGTTTATCTTCATGATAAAAATAACTATTAGATCGAATAAGAATGACAATATATGTTCGGATAAAAATGAATAAAAATATGTCACAAATGGTTTATTTTGGACAGAATAAAATCTTTAAGATGATAATAATATTTGATTAGACATATCCACACAACTATGAAGAAAACTCAACACAGTGCTTCTCTCTCTCTCTCTCTCTCTCTCTCTCTCTCTTAGATTAATTTCTTTTGCCGCTTTGAATATCTTCATCAAAGTTCCCCTCAAATTCCTTCATCAACGCCAGTAACGTAACAGGAGTAATGCGAGTAATGCACTCGACGCTCGCAGCATGTCTTTCCTTCCACGAGTAAACCTTAGACTGCATACAATCTTCCCACGGATTCCAACCGCGATGACTTCCTTGCGTTTACGTTAATCCTGCGAAATAATAATATTTAATGTAGATAATAAATTTAAAATATTACACGTATCGACTTATCGATTGTAATATATTTTTGAGTTATCAAATATACGATGACAAAAACTATCTCGAAATAAGAAAATAATTGTGAAAATAATTCCCTCGAAATATTCCAATAACTTTGTTTGATATATTAAAGGTAATAACTTAATGGAGTTGAAATATTCGAGCAGTTGACGGTTTGTGTTGCATCGACTGGTTTCGGTCAGTCAGCTAGTAGCTAGCCACGAGTCCTACCAGTAGCTAGAACACACGGTCTATGTATAATAGTTATACGCAAACGGTGTATTATAGAAGTGCTTGGCATATCTGGGAAATTCA